ATGGATTATTTGTCTCTGCAAACGTTCGAACCATCTCGCTGTTAGCAGCCATTTTTCCTTGTCAAGTCAACTCCTGCAGCGGGGAAAAAAAAGGAAGAGGCAGCCTGTGAGGCTGCGCTCACGGCAGCAAATCCAGATATTACAGATACAAATCCTTTTACACATTTGTGCATCTCACACGGCAGAAGTGTAGCAAAAATCACGTGTGTAAAGAGAGCCAACGGAGAAACCGCTGGACTTGTAACCAATGATGTGTCTGTATTTCTGGGTGTTGAATCGAAAATACTTCGGACACAGTGTCTCTGTGTGCTTACAGGTTGTTCTACACATTTGCAAATCTTACTACATATTTGTAGATCTGAATACAGATTTGTGGATTTTTTACACATTTGCAAATCTCAGTACACATTTGCAGATCTGAATACAGATTTGTGGATTTTTTACACATTTGCAAAACATATTACACACACACAAGTAGTTTTACACATTTGCAGATTGTTGTACAGACACACAAATCTCCTCACACATTTACAGATTTATTTACACATTTTCAAATCCCCCTGCTCACGCACAAATGGAGATACAGATACACAACTCTCCACACACATTTGTAAATAATAAAGCAACAATTTTGGCCCCATAGTTTTGATACTCATAGTCAAATCTTACTCAACTACAAGGAAAAGTTACTCAGTCAATAATCTACTCAGGTTAAAGTATTGAAGTTCTCGCTTTTGAAAATACTTAGTTAATTGTGATCGATTATTTACCTAAACATCAACTTATCTACGAATCAATTGTTACCTGGATTATAGAAAAAAATCTGCCTTTAGCTGACAGAGCGACCCACTTAGAGCAGGAATTATATCAAAATGGTACCAAAAATATCTAAATATTTTGTATTTAAGATAAGAAATGAAAGAACTAGCAGCTTCCTGGAAACACAGACACTAAAAAAGCCTCTATAAAGTAAAGATACTCAAAAAAGGACTTAGGTAAAGTAATCAAGTAAATGAACTTTGTTACTTTCCACCGCTGCTAGTTTATCAATCAATTCACCTCTTTAGAAATGTTATGGTCAGTTATTAGCTGGAAGCTAAAGTAGCACCACCTGCAGGCTTGTTAAGGAAACACATGTTCTACGAGGTACCGCTGATGTACGACGCTTTGTCTTCTGTGTTCAATAAAAAACCCAACAATGTTTTATTAGAAAAGATCCAAACTGACTAAAGCTTAAAAAGATTAAAAAGGTTTCCTTCATGAATCAAATCATTTTGTTTTGTTTGATGATCTGAACCATTAAAGTTAGAAAAGGTGAACTCAGTTTGAGGCGATCTGCAGAAAACATGACATATTTGTCATTAAAATGCTACAAACATTAGCTTTGCACAAAGCTAATAACAACAAAATCATTTTTTCCCTAAAAATATTTTTTTTTCTTGAATTAAGGAGGTGAGACATTTTGCCGATGCAAGAAGAAAGAAAAAGCGTTTGCATTGTCTTATTACAAATGCATATTATCTAATTATCGTATTTTAAGAGTAAAAATAATAATTTCAACAGCAGATCATCTTATTTAATTACTTAATTTAAGACATTTAAGTTATTTCTAGATCGTTTTTGCAGTGTAAAAGTTCTTTTTCCTCCACTCCTGCTGCACTGCAAAAAACAATCTAGAAATAAATTAAAAATTCTTAAATCAAATGTATTTCTCCTTAATTTGAGCAGCGAAATAAGATGATTTGCAAATAGAAAGAGTATTTTTCCTCTTAAAATAAAATAATTTGATAATTTGCACTTGAAGTCAGACCAAAAATGTAAATTCTCACTTATCCCCTTAATTCACGGACAAATGCACTTATTTTAACAAAAAAGTCTCATTTAGATTTCAATCTTTTGCAGTGAGGCAGCCCTGTTTATGTCTTAGTGAGAAAACTAAGAGGCATTTAAGGGAATGCTTGATTAGCAGATATGCACAGAGCTGTGTAGAATCATCTGCAGATGACTTGTTTGGAATAAATTAAGTTTGCTGCTGTAAGCCTGCATACAAATCGATACGATCAAGTACATACGGGCTTCTAATGAGCAGCAATCAGTGCAACCAGCATCCCTTTTATTGCAGCCATAACTTTAATGTGTGTGTATGCTGCAGCGGGAGCTCGGCTTGCTGCTTGCTTCCTATAATGTCAGGCTTGTACAGTGAAATGTTAATCTTGCCCTCTGGAAATCCCTTTTAACCCCCCAAAAAATCGATGCGTTCGCCTTTGATCACGGCGCACGGCGGAGCTCAAACAGACTGTGATAAGAGTCCCTTGATCGAGGCTAATTAAGCCAGGAGCCAAACAGCTCTTCACCCCCTCCGTCTTGTTTGGTCGGGGTTAAAGGACGTTAAAGCGCCTCGGATTGAATCGCTCGCCTTCCTGTTCGCCTGCTTTTTGATTGCCAGGCTGACAAGCGCTTTAAAAGCGGGACGGGGCTTCCAGCAGCTGTTTAGGCCACTTGATACTCACGGTGGCAAATTATCCCCTCAGGTGGGACCTTGTACCAGCCGGTTGCCATGGTGACATCACAAGGACAAGTGTTAACGCAGGCGCTACCTCCAGGAAGCATCCAGATTCAGAACTCCCAGGTAATCCATGTGCATGATGATGCTTTGTCAGACCCCCCACTGCTTTACAGTTTGACTTTAAAATGTGTCTCTTTATATTTCACTAACCCGCCCCCCCCACGCACACACACACTCGCCCTCCTTCCTCCACCTGAATGGGCCCCCTGCTGCCAAACAAATGGAAATTGTTTATTCTCCTTCTGTTTATCAGGCAGGATCATAAAAGACATTACGCTCCTGTCAGGAATAAATTCAGCTCTGGACGCTATAGAAGCTATAGATGATGGAAATATAACGCATTATTGCCGTGCCGAGTCTGCAGAGGAAGTTATTATAGGAGAAGCAGGAAGAGCATTTTGCTGCAGATGCATCATTTCCTCCATGTGAAAACTGACTGATAAAAAACAAATGATTTAACCTTTCAGTTTGATTATATGGCCGAACAAAGTAATACAATTAATACAAACTTTTTAATTTTTTACAAATAATACCTGAAAGGTGCGGCATGCTTTTGTATTGACTCAATCACCCTGGTCTAGAAAATGAAAGCCAATAGAGCCAACAGCCTTCAGAAGTTTGCAAATAAATCAAGATCAGAGAAATTTAATCTCTGCAGATGAAGCTGAGAGATTAATAACACAGAAGAACAACAGAACGGACTGAAAAGCCGGACACAGCAGACACACACAGAATAGAATAGAATAGAATAGAATAGAATAGAATAGAATTGAATAGAATTGAATAGAATTGAATTGAATTGAATTGAATAAAATAGAATAGATTGTAATATTTTAGATTAGAATAGAAATTATTAGAAGGGAATAGAACAGGATAGACTAGATTAGAATAGAATAGGATTGAATTGAAATAAAGAGAGTCGAAGAGAAGGAATCAGAATAGAACAGATTAGAAAAGAAAAATAGAATAGAATAAAAAAATTGAATCGAATAGATTGTAATAAAAAAGACTAGAATGGAATAGAACAGAACATATTTTCAGATGATAGAATAGATAGAATAGAATAGAATAGAATAGAATAGAATAGAATAGAATAGAATAGAATAGAATAATCCTTTCTGCCCCTCATTAGTTGATTCAGAGAACGTTTCCTGCAGAGTGCAAAGTTTGCATCTCAGGAGGATTAATGAAAAAATGTAGAAATTTTGACATTTTTTGTTAAAACTGAACTTTTTATCCACCATTTAAAAGCTGAATGATGAACTCGTCTAAGAAGAAACGTTCCCTAATAGGGGGGTGGGAGTGGGGGGGTCGGCTATCATACCGTGGTGAAGCCCTTCACCAGGACAGGTCGGGATTCAGTGGCTTAATGTTAATATATTTATTTTCTGAGGTTTACGTGTGAAATAAATTCCATTGCTCAGGAATAAACTCCTGTTTGTAGATCTCTGAAGTTAGATTCCTTCATGTTTGTGGTTTTTTAGATGAGAAAAGATCAAGGGCTAATAATGTGGAGCAGGGAATAAAGTTCCAGTGTTTCGTGTCTGTTTGCATGAGAATAAAATGAGTCTAAACTTACGGTGTTCATCTGCAAAGCTGGAGCAGCAGCGTGGTTCCTGCTGCAGAGCTGGCTGGGATTGCTTCACTCAGGTAATTCTGTGTCTGACTGTTAGAAAAGAGCCCACTGGGTAACATCAACCCTGCCAAGGCTGACTGCTACATTAGTGCTGGGAATTGAACAGCGCCCTGTAGCTGCTCTGCAGACAAGCCCCGGGTAATCACACTCTGCAGCTCAGCGCCGCCAATTAACTCAGCCTCCCTCTGCCCTGCAACGCATACGTGTCCTGGGCTGGGGGATGGGGGGGGGCTATACGAGTGAAGCATAACTGCAACTCTAATGAGTTTCATCTTGTGTCACAGCTATAGCTGCACTATCAAACTGTAGCCATTAGCACCAAGAGTTTTAATACTAAAACCTGCCTGAACATATATATGATTCTCAAGGTTTATTCAGCTGCACATCCTGACTGCTGAAATAAAAGGTTTTTCTTTTCATTGTTTGGAAAAATAATTAACCTCTGTTTAGTTTAGAAACTACGGAAGCCCTGAAAGGCAAGAGAGAAAAAAAATCTGGAAAAGTTTTTTTTTTTTTTTTGGTATTATATTTTAGGCCCTGAAATGCAAGTAAAAAAATAAAAAATCAAAGGCAAGTTTTTCTGTTTGTTCTTGTAATACTTTATTTAGCCACTAGAGGCACTGAGGTAATAAAACAGACAGTCACTGTCGGCTGTATTCTTCGATCTTCCAAATATAACAATTTATTTTTGCAAAGAAAAATAATATACAAATAAGGTATAAAAGCTGTGGCTTGTGGGGCGGCGTCTTTTCAGGGGGGGCAAAGGAAAGCATGAAGCAGAAACAGGGGAATAGTTTCTTATTTAAAATATTTACTAAATGAAGATGTTGTCCAGTTTTATTAAGATCTTATTTTGAAAATGTGATTTTCAGGCTGTAAAATGTAACAAAATGAAAAATGCCTTACAATGGATTAAAAAAGTAACAAAATAATAATTAGGAGCTAAATAAATATCATGGACAAAAAGTAAAATAAAGCTATTCTTCAGAATATTAGCTCAATGTACCTTCATAATTCTGAATATTACGTATTTTTGACTTCTTTAAAGAAAAAAAATAACAGTTTTAATTAAAACATATGTAGAACTTGATTAACTGACAATTTGGATACGAGGAGCATGAAAAGTGTCTGTGATCAACGGGCCGACCAGCCTGTCTGTTATCCCAGAACTAAACTACTAGCCAGATATTTTCTGAAAATAAATCCAAAGTTATCCATCCATCCATTATCTGTCACACTTTATCCCTGCTGAGGGGCTCTGGTGTCTCCAGCTGTCTGAGGCAGGGTCCAGGTCCAGAGTACCCAGAGAGAACCCACACATGCTCAGGGAGAACATGCTAACTCCATGCAGAAAGACCACCAGGCCTGGAATTGAACCTGGAACCTTCTTGCTGCAAGGCAGCAGTGCTACCCACGGCTCCACTGAGGATCCCGCGATAAATCCAAAGCCTTTATTTAATGATTTAATTAAGTGACTCCATCCGACCTAAAACAGGAGAAGTTCATAAAATAAGAAAAGGATCCGTCCAATGAGCAGAAATTGGTTAAAAAACCAACATGATTTACATCCAAACGATGTGTTAAAAGCCAAAGGTGAAAAGCCGTCATTTTCGGATCATTGAAAAGACGTTAAAACTGGGTTTGTAACGTCTGCAAAGTCTCTCAGACCTTCTCTTTGTCTTTCCTTCACACTCCAGATCAGAATAATGATTTAGGCTTTGGTCAAACGGACCACGGCGTGCAGACGGCGCTTCCCCTTCTCTGCTCGCTCTAACTAATTCAGCACCATGCAGTTAAATCTTAACTGGAGGCCTGACCCTGGGCTCTTTTAACTCCTAATCTAAGGCACCGAGCAAAGAACAGACGCGTTGGCTCCTCTGCTATTTTATATTTTAAGTATCATTACTCAAATTCAGTTACCATGGTGACACTTTAGAAGGTGTTTCTGCCCTTGCTACTGAAAAAATGAAAGGTAATTGGTAGTCTCCCTTTGTTTCCGTGGCAACAATAACTAAGTCTTACCAATTTTTGCCTTTTTTCCTCCCCCTTCATGCTCCCTCCTCCCTTCTTGCCTTTTGGAAAGGTAAATGTGGACTTGGCATCTCTTCTGGACAGTGAAGACAAGAAGTCAAAGAACAAGCGAGGGGTCCTTCCCAAACACGCCACCAACATCATGCGATCCTGGCTCTTCCAGCATCTCATGGTGAGGTTAAACATCAGCCACCATCGGTAGCTGTTGTAAAATCAGAGGAAATAAGGAGACAAAGACCACAAATGAAGAGGGAAGATTTGCTTGTTTTTTAACAGGAACAGGCAACTTTTGTTAACAACAATAAAATGAAAGTGGAGAAAAACTGAGATGCTGCTTCTTCTTTTTTTCAGCACCCATACCCAACAGAAGACGAGAAGAGGCAGATCGCTGCACAAACAAGTCTCACCCTTTTGCAAGTAAACAACTGGTAAGCTGCAGTAACCACGAACCCTGTTTTATCCAATCACCTTTATTATTCCCAAGGGCCAAAGAATCAGACCTACCATACGAACATGAGGAAGGAAATAAGGAAATATAAAACTATTGTTTTTAACAGGAACATAAAGATGTTCATAGAGTGAATAGAGAAGCACATCACCAGCTCATCACACAGCAGTGAACACATGATTTGATTTGAACTGAAAGTCAAGAAACTCGAGAGCTTCAGATTTTTTCTTACAGCTTTGCTGCCATCTGCTGGCTAAAGATCTGCATTACAGTGAAAGTGAACGCCCCTCTGAAGGTTCAGGTCCATCTCTACACCCAGATTTCGGGCCTGAAAAGTTAATTTTCTTCTCCAGAAATCCACCAGATATTAACAGCTAGATTGTGTCATACAGTAGTAGCCATTCAAAAATGTATCCCTTTCCTTTATGGGTCCTTAGTTGATCCCCTTCAATTCCTTTTTAAACATCAATCTTTGCACTAAAATATTCTTTCTGTCATGATTTGTGGACATTTAGATCTAGAGAGAAGCGCCATCTCCTGGTCAGACGCTGTAATTCAGTGAAAGGGTGGAGTCAGAGTATAATAATATGCAAGAGAGAGTCACTCCAGTGGCTGAAAGTTGGAGGGGATTCTGCTGGGAGTTGGAGGGAAGTGGGCTGCCATTCGGCTGCTAGTTTATAGACGCTTACTATCAGTGAACACCATGAGTTTATAAGGAGAGTTTTCTGCTCCTTTCAGGACTTTCTCACTTCGGAGACAATCGGTATGATGGACACAGTCAAAAGATTCTTACCAAAGTAGAAGTACCAACAGTCTGATGCGCAGAGAAACAGAAAGTAACCCCACAGCTCCATCTTATAGGATTGCACAGCTGTTTAATTAGGAATTAAATACATAGTGAAACAGTAGAAGGAATCTGCTGGTGAAGATTCTCAGCCATTCAGGTCAGAGTCATTCCAAAAAAGTTAAAATCAATCCACTGGACTTTGTTTCTAAGTTTGAAGACGTTTCTCTTCCATCCAGGAAGATTTTTAATTCAAAATGTCAGAAATAGCGTTTAGTTCCAGGTTTTATCCAGCAGCCCAACAAAGCCTGGTTTATGTTTATAAAACATGCAAATAGAAACGGATGAACGGGTCCCCCCTCTTTGGAATGGGGGCCGTTTGGCTTCTTTGTTAGCCTGCAATGCCCCATACCTGTCTATGTCTCTGAAAGGGGGGTCGTTAGAGGGAATAGTTGGCCTGCAATGCCCCATACCTGTCTATGTCTCTGAAAGGGGGGTCGTTAGAGGGAATTGTTGGCCTGGCTGAACAGGTGAGGTCTTCTGTTTCCCTGTAAAGGGGTTGGGGCTGCGATGATAGCGGGAAGGAATCAACTCTATTGCTGCATTGGAGGTTTTTGAAAGCTGAAATCTTAAGTCCACCATTCCAGCTCGAATGCAAACAAAGACCCACTTTGCTTCCTCCCGCTTCAGTGAAGTCTGTTATGAATAATCATCATCTTTAAAATGAGTTTGAATGGTTGTGTTTGCTTGGGAGCTGAAACCTTGGATTAAATAAATAAATATTGAAGTAAAAAAAGAATAAAGTAAAACATGAGCTAAAATGTATAATTTACTTTACAGAGAAATTTACTTATTAGATATAATATACCAGTATTTATTTATTTATTAAATTAGAAAAAATGGCTCAGCCACAGCCTTTAGTCATCTCTTATAGCATTTATCAAAGACGTGGCTTACAGCGAGATGGATCTTTGACGGCTACCCTTCTAACAATCTGTCTAGAGGCGCTGTGAAGTCTCACCAGGCTCCAAAGGCCTTTGGTGGGTAAACAGGCTGCCGCCATTACAGGTCCTAAACCGTCCTGAACAGCTAGCATTAATTCAGTTTATTTCTATTGGGTCAATTTACAACACGTGACATGTCAAGCCTCTACAGTTCACCAGATCATCCAGTCAGATTGATTCAAAGTTCTCTATGAAAGGAAAACCAGTCGATTGCATCGACTCATTGACTCTTCAGCAATCCCTCACACT